GGCTGAGGCTGAGGCTGTGGCTGTGGCTGTGACTGAGGCTGTGACTAAGGCTGTGGCTGAGGCTGAGGCTGAGGCTGAGGCATTATTCACTAACTGTGCCTTGGCTGGCTGCCTGCTCCAATTCTAAGGCTCTAAACAGCATCTTCCTTGAGAGATGTGTCTGTCTGTGCCCACTGCATGCTGTTCCTACTGTGTGCAGTTCCCCCTGTGTGCCCGCACCAACTGTGAGCCCACACCCACTGTGTGCCCCGCTCACTGTGTGCCCCGCTCGCTGTGTGCCCCGCTGTCTGGGTGCCCACGCCCACTGCGAGCATGTGACCCTTTACTAAGCCTCATAGAGCGATCAGTGCCCTGCCTGCATGCTAAAACATGCTAATAAGACATAATGTTAACATTATGCTGGAGAGAAGAGCTCTCCAGCATACTTACCTGATAAGGACATGTGTCCAGAGTAATCACGACACCTCACAGAACAAGAAAAGGCGAGTGCACTCACCAGACGGATGAAAACGTGCTCACGATCATCAGTCGGTTGTAGAAGTCGGTCATCTTCATTAGTCGTCAGAGATGGGCGGATCAAAATTTCCGCACAGACACCTCACGTCAGTGACGGCCCCTGGGAAAGGGGGACCGCCACCGTGAGGATGGGGACACACTCATGCCTTCCCAGCAGGCCGTGGGACTGATGGAGATGCTGAGAAACGTGTCTGGTAGTTTTCTGAGTACAGTCGCCAACCACGTGGCTCAGTGTTTCTGTTCCTGCGGCTGAGATTCGTGTCCACAGGGAACGTGAATATAAACATTCCCGGCACAATTAACCATAATAGCCTAAAAGTAGGCATGCCCCAGTGCCAGTCAGCTGACGTACACACAGGCGCATGTGTGGCCACGAGGTGGTGTTTGGTGTGCACACTGCAGAAGAGGGGCAAGGTGTGGAGAGCTGTGCCCCGCTGGCCTCCGGGCACGACACAGCAGTTACACATGTGACTTCACACCGCCCTGCTTGCCCACACCAGACCTCCACAAGAGCAAGAAAGTTAGAACTTCCAGCGTGGAGCGGGAGGACCGCTGCTGACACCCTGCTGGCTGCTGAGGGGGGCCTGGCCGTGGGGAGGATGTCCTCGCCAGTCAATGGGCCTGGCCGTGGGGAGGCTGCCCATGCCCAGCGGATGGCCGCACAGCCATGCACACATGCGCAGTGCTAACTGGGCTTGGTGGGCTATAAAAAGGGAGACATGAAGCTCTTCAGCAGGCGGCCGTTGGGAGAGCTGGAAGGAGGGAGTTGGGGTTGACTATGGCTGAGACACAGCATCTACACATTTTCCAAAAAAAGTCTCCTCAAAATGAAGTTTAATACCAAAGTGGACTCAATACACTTGGGTGCTTGTGCTTTGGTCAGTGAGGGCCATAGGTGCGTGGCTGGTTGTGACGACCCCGAGGAACTCCCACGGCTTTGCTCGTCTCAGAGCTCCCGGGACACTGGGACGGCTCACGGTGCCGAAGGAGCATTGTGGGATTGTAACAGAATTAAACAGAACCCCTGTCCCTGTGGGACTGCTGTCACGGTGCCACTCAGGTGTCTGGGGCTCCTCCTAACCCTTTCTCTGGCCTCATGGGGTGCACACGCTGTCAGATTTCATGCTCTCGTGGCCAGCCGAGTGCCCTGTGACCAGGGGCTCCTTAGCCAGCTCCTCGTCACCAGATCTGCCGGAGGGTCGTTATGGGTGCCTGTGGGTTTGAAAGCTTTTCAAACCCCTGGCTGTGCAGTCTGCAGTGCTGTGAAGCAGGGCCGGGAACGCCTCAGGTTCCCGGCGGGGCTGTGGTGAGGATTAATGTTTTAACAGACTCCATCTTCTGCCCCTCTAAGGAGGCATCAATGAAGTGAAAGACTTCATTATACAAGACTGCTTATTTTCAGTGATCATTTACCCCTCCATGCGCTGTCTGAGGAGATGTGCTTGGATTCCCATGATGCCCGAGCTAAACAGAGTTAACCCACCGTTCAGGGCACCTCTGTGGGCAAAAGGTCAGGGGCTGGTTTCTCTGGAGACAGGGAAGGTGGCGCAGTGGGGGAAGGGCCTGCCACAGGAGAATGAGGACATGCATTCAGGTCTCCAGAGCCAGCATCACACTTGGATGTGGTAGTGAGCGTCTGTAATCCTGGGACTGCGATCAGGATGCAGGGGGATACCCAGAGCTTATTGGCCAGGCAGTTTAACCAGTCGACGAGCACCAGGTTCAGTAAGAGACCGAAAACAACACAAAACCCACAAAAACCAAAACAAACAGACAAACAAAAACCAGTGGCGAGAAGCAGTGGAGTAAGACAGCAGAGCGCCGTTAAGAATGTCTCATTAATGGCTGAGAAAATTATGTAATGTATTTTGGTCACATTCAGCCCAGCTGTTCCTTTTACCTCCTCCCAAGTCCATGGCAACATCCCTCACTCTTCCTCCAATTTCATATCCTCTCTTAAAAGATTAACAGCCCACCCAGGCCACCTGTGCCCATCTGCTTGCAGTGTGGGGCTGTCCACTGGGCCGTGGCTGCCTACCCGGGCCACACCCTTCCACAGAAGCCACCAACTGTCCCTGCCTCTTCAGTTAGGGGTGGGGACACATGAGCCCTTCTCCTCCGCACTGGAGCGCTGCCTGCCCTGACCTTGTGCAGGCCGCTGTGTGGGTCTGCGAGGACAGCTCTTGGCTCGTGAAGATGCTGCTTGTCCCTGTTCTTAGAGTCAGTCTTCTGCCTCTTCCATGATTGCCCCTGCGCCGTGGGGAGAGAAGACACTCAAGATGGGCCTCTGGCCTCCACATGTACATTCAACACACACACACTCACACAGACGTGCACACAGACATGCATGCATGCACAGTCTCTCTGGTGTTACTGTTCTTCTACAGGAAGATGCTACAAGGGGCCGGCACGTGCAGGAGGCAGGCCGGTGCTCCGGGCTGACGTTTTCCTCTGCCTCACCTTCCCCCTCTTTCTGGCTTGCAGTGAGCTGAAGCAGAGGCTGGCGGAGGAGCACAGCCGGTGCAGCATCCTCTCGAAGCACCAGAAGTTCGTGGAGCGCTGCTGCATGCGCTGCTGCTCGCCCTTCACCTTCCTGGTCAACGCCAGGCGCCGCTGTGGGGAGTGCCAGTTCAGCGTCTGCAAGAGCTGCTGCTCCTACCAGAGGCGGGAAAAGCTCTGGCTTTGCTGTGTCTGCCAGCAAGCCAGGTGAGTGGATCCGTGCCCGCAGGGCCAGGCTGCGGGCACCGCCTCGTCCTCCTGCCGGGGAGGACCAGCCCTGACGGGGGGTTGTGCCCAGAGCACCAAAGCAGTGCGGAACCCTCAGGAAGGGTGAGAGGAGGCTGCTGCAGAGAAAGATGCAGCTTCCCCGTGCTCTGCCCCCCCCCCAAGCTCCTCCCCTGGTCCTCCTTTTACTCTGTCGTAAGTGTCCTGGGTTCAGAGAAACTGCGCTGTGTGCTGAGGACGTGAAGCGACACACGACTGGCGTCCTACATGCGTGCAGCCACAAGTGGGCCCTGCTCGGCTTCTCTTTCGACCGTGGGATGCTGAGCATAGGCCGGCTGTCAGGAGGGGTTAGAGAACTCTTCACAGGGGCCCAAAATAATGAAAGCAGGCTTTTCCAGGGTAAAATACAGTCAGCGTGTGCAAGGTGGGGCTGGGAGGCCGCCGCCTGCGAACGGAACAACACGTTTGAGTTCATAGTGACAGCGCTGCGTGTTTGGGAAGAGGAGACTGTGACAGCTGGTGTCTTACCTCCGCTGATACTGTTGTCTCCATGGCTCGCTGTCGCTCCTGGTGACAGTGACTGGAGCAGGCTGGCTCTGCCTCAGTGCGCACCCAGAAAGCCGGCCTTCCTGTCTGACCTTTCCTCCCCATCCTCCTCCCGCTGAGTGTGGTGCGTGTGCTCTGCAATACATGAAATCCTAGCATTTTCCTGGAGAGCTAGTGCTTGGGGCTAGAGGCTGAGTGTGTGAGTGGGGTCTCCAAGGAGGGGCTCTGTCTAGCAAGGAACCAGACAGTTCTGAGTCGCCAGTAGAAAGCAGTGTCCAGGCATGTCTGCCAGTGTCCAGGCGTGGGTGCCCCGGGCCCTGAGCTCTGCACAGCTGTGTCCTGTCATTTCCACATCGGGGCTCAGGAGATGGGGAGAGGAATGGGACAAAGGGAAGACCCATCACAACTGACTGCTGAGAGCATGACCCGCTGTGTCAGAAACACAGGCCAACATGGCTGGCTTTCTACAAGGTCAGGAAGTAGTCACTAACACTAAGAGGGCAGTCTCAGCAACAGTGATTCACCAACTGTCCCTGCTCTGCTTGGGCCCTCAGTTGAAGGAAACAAGGCTCTCATTTCAATCTTAGTTACTCATACCAACTCTCAGATCACACCTTACACACATCACATCTGTGACTCTATCATAACCTATCATCTATCTATCTTATCTACCTATCATCTGTCTATCTTATCTATCATCTACCTATCATCTATCTAGTATCATCTATGTGTCCTCTATCATCCATCTATCTATCATCTATTGTTCTATCAACTATCTATCTATAATCTATCTATCTATCTATCTATCTATCTATGTGTCTATCATCTAACTATCTATCATGTATATATATGTAGCTTACAGAATGGCTGCAAAGGGTTAAGAGGCAAGAATCTTCCCAAAACCTGGGCAGCGATTAGGAGTACAGGAGAGGCTAGGGAGGGGAGGGAGGTGAGAGGAGCAATCATGTGGAGGTCCCAGGCGGCATGCTTTGGCTGCTGCCGTGGGGTGAAGGGTCATAGCTGAGCGGGAGTAATGAGGTAAAGTGAAAGACAGGACCAGGCCACACAAATGAGCAGATGGATGATGGACACCAGGGCAGGATGGGTGCGCAAGAGGACAGCAGCTAGAGTGGGCTGCAGCCGCAAGAGGAGCAGATGAGCTGGCGCCCTGGAGCACGGAGGCTTCTCTCCTGCATCCTTGATGCCCGGTGACGGGCAGCTGTTCATCGGGTTCCACCGCCTTGTAGGGTCCAGGTGAGGGAGACTTTCACGTGTCCAGTGAGTTCTTGGGCCTGGCTCTCCTGATATGACTAATGTGTCCATGTCCACCTGTGGCACACTCCCTGTTCCAAGTCCCTCTTGGTCAGTGCTGGGGTACTGGGCAGACAGTGCTTTACACTCTTGCCCATTCAGAAGTGTGATCCTCCGACCATCAAACAGCTTCAAAGCTTGTGAAGCGGAGCATCCACTGTGCAGCATCCACTGCACAGGCTGAGCAACCACTGTTCTCAACAACCAACCGTGGAGTCGCTGAGGGCAGGAGCAGCCTGGTCTCCACGGTTCGGCCTGGGATGAGCATTCTGTGAGCAAGTGCAAGGCCAGGCACCGAGAAGTCAGGGTGGAGGGTTGTCTCGGCAGGTAAGAGCACTCTTCCAGAGGACCTGGCTTCAGTTCCCAGGGGAGGCTGCTCAGCATGGGGAAAAGCACTCTGACCCACTGGAATGGTGCTACACCCTGAGGCTGGTGCTCTGCCCTGAGGCTGGTGCTCCGCCCTGAGGTTGGTGCTCTGCACTGGGGATGGTGCTCTGCCCTGAGGCTGGTGCTCCGCCCTGAGGCTGGTGCTCTGCCCTGAGGCTGGTGCTCCGCCCTGAGGTTGGTGCTCCGCCCTGAGATGAAACACTTTCAGAAGGAAGGGTGTGGGCTTGGTGGCCCCTTGAGATCCTTTCTGTGTGTTAAGTCCACGTGCTTTGCATAAGCTCGGTCTGGAATCGAAGCCTGACCTAACTTCCCGTTCTAGACTGGTTACTCCGTGTTTTAGACGTGGGAGAAAACAGTAGCGACTCAGTGTCTGTAACAGAAAAGGATGGAAACCACTCAGCCGTCTCAGCTGCGGTTACCTGGTGCTGCCGCTCTGGCACCTCCATTGTGAGGTCTCTAAGGAGGTATTTTCCTAATGAGATGTTAAGGTAGTGTGGGCGCCTCTAAGCAGGAAGCCATTTCCTCCATTTGTGCAGTCTCCTTATTTAGCACTGTAAAAATAACTCAGTGTTTGTAAAATCAGTTTATTTCCCAGCACAGATCCGGAGCAGTTAAAGATACCCCCAAGTGGAGGGCTCAGGTAAATCGGGGTCTCTGATGGGCCTGAGTCTAGAGACTGAGGCTATGAAGACTCAGAGTATCGTCGCTTTACACTAATTCACAGTGCATGGCTCCGCATTTCGGCCCCCCGGGAGCCGAGGGCTGTGCGGGAGGCTGCAGAGAGCTGCTGAACTTCTTCACACTGCGCAACCGCCCAGCTATGTTAGTGGCCTACAAAGAGCCGGCCGAGGTAGTGTGTACATCCGTGCTGCCGACACCCAGGAAGAGGAGACGGGAGGATCAGAAGTTCAAGGTCAGGGGCTGGGGAGCTGGCACAGGCACTGAAGTGCGAGCCGTGCAAGTCTGAGCACCTGAGCTTGGAACACCAGCACCAACATAAGAATCTGGGCACGGTGCTGTGTGCATCCACAGTATCCTGTAGAGCAGCTATGAATATGGACAGACAGACAGACAGACGGACAGACAGAGACCAAGCATGATGAAGCTTGTCTATCAGCACTGGAGGTGAGCAGAGACAGGAGAACCACTGGAGTTTGCGGGCTTAGCAATCTAGACAGGTTGCCGGTGCCTTGTGGTGGCCACAGTCTTGCCACCCTGTAAAGTCTGTTGTGTTGCTGCATCACAATTTATTAGACCATTTTCATGATTTCAAAGATCTGGGTTTTTTCTCTCATTTTGTTTGTTTGCACCTGCACACACGGCTCCCTGCACCTGCAGACACAGCTCCCTGCACCTGCACACTCTGCTCCCTGCACCTGCACACACAGCTCCCTGCATCTTTTCTTGCAGTTTCCCTTTGGTCTCTGGCTATTGTCTAGGATTAAGACTTCGCTCTGAGCCTGTACACATTGCTGTCTTTAGGTCATGTTACACTTTCTTGCACATGTACTTTTTCTGCCCTCCCCCCCCCGTGATAATCAACACTTTCCACACCAGCTGACCAAGGTTCTGCCGTCTCATTTGAAACCTCAGCGGGTTGGAGAGCCGCCTTTCCGGAGCCTCGGTAGGTGGGAGCCTCTTCCAGGTATCTGTCTCTGCTTTGCCCAGTGACTCTGAGCAGCTTTACTCCCGCAGAAGGAGGCGCACAATGGGTCTGGTCGGTTCCAGTTACTTGCTGGAGCTGTTGTGAGCTATTTCCTTCTGGCCTGAATGAGCGTCCCTTCACGTGGAGTGTCTCGCCTCCACACACTTCCCTCCGAGGTGAAAGGTTTTAATCATGGAGGGAACTGTTACACAACCGAGGATGTGAGAAAATTGACAACAGAGCATTTAATGTATTCTAAAGAATTGTTCCAGGGACCATCATTTCCCCAGCATCCCTTAGCTTCATTCACATGAAACTGCACGTGGACACCTGAATCCCCGGGACCCTGTGTCCCTAGGGGCACAAGCAGGCGAGGGTGCCTGTCTCTGCAGCCTCAGAGATCCAAATGTGGACCGGTAGGCTCTGGAAATGTACAAAGCCCCAGATGAACATAATCACTGTAAAGTTTTTTAGAGCTGTGTGTGCATGTTGTGTCTGGGAGTGTAAAAGGGGAAACACTTTTATTCAGTGCCTGTGGGGTCCAGAGACAGCCTTAGGTCGCTTGGTGCTCGTGAGGGAGGGAATCAGCTCACAGCACACCAAGACCAAGTTCTCAAAACAAAGAGGTTTGGTCTGCCCCCAGAGGACAAAGGGCGGGGATAGGAGACAAAGCCAGGAGACAGAGGAGGAGAGAGAAGTGAAAAGGGAAAGGGACTGGAGAAAGGGGACAGACATTTGCCCAACGGGGACACACACAGGACTACCTCCCAATAGAGAAGAGACAGACACAGCCTGTGGGCAGTGGCAGTTTATAAGGGAAGGGGGAAGCCCACGATGAGTTGGTTGATTTAATCATGCGTGTTAACTAGGTGAGCCAAAGGGGACTTCTGGCTGCTGGACCTTGTAGTCAGCCCTGGAGGAGGGAATAGGCCTTCGGTGGCTAGCTTTAGGAATGCCATCTACCCCAGTTAGTAAGACAGAGAGGGTGGAGAGAGGCAAGTCCTCCCTGAGCCGCGTTCGCTGTGCCAGGCCGCTCGGGCCCTCGGAGCTGGAGTTACAGGCATTTGTCACATTTGTCAGCCACCCATGAGAC